CCTTATAATGTGTTTTCAGTAGTCTATGTTGAAGTTCTTAGCACAGGCTAACTTATCATATCATATATACAGTAGTACCCCTCAATAAAACCCACAGGGTACCATGTTAAGTGAAAACCGCGCTAAGTGAACAACAGAATATATGGAATTAATTCCAATAGAAACTGGCCCATCCCCAAACTCCACTTTTTCCGACACAATACCTATGTTCTAGTAAAAATAACATCTTAATTTTATGATGGTACATGCACACAATTAATACTTAAGAGAAATAGAGAAATACAGTCGCCAAGTTAATGTCCATTCAAATAATGGACTCCACTCCCTCCCCCTCTTCTCACACTACACTGCTGGCTCTTCCTTCTCTGAGAAATTTTTGGGGGAAAACCACTAAATTTTAATAAATAATACCTCAAACTAAAGTTAGGATAATACAATTGACATTGCTGGATTCCTTGTAAGACCAGGAATATTTTGAATACAAATGTCATATATTTTGCACAAAAAATAACATATTTACTCAGAGTAAACTTTATATCTAAAATTTGTATGTCTAATGCAAAATCTATGATGTTTATATTCAAAATGATCACCAAATTGTAAGAATTCCAGCAATGTAAATTATATTCTGGCCGGGTAATTTGTATGAATTTTTTGAGCTAAAACAAATATCTTCAGTTAATAAAAAAAAAAATATTCTTCAAGACACTATCTGTCAATCAAAGTACCCTAACTTGCCTTCTCCCCCTCCTCCAACCGCCTGGTCAGTCCCAACCCTCCCCCCCACCCCCCACCAATCCTCCCTTCAAGAGATGTTGGGTGAAAAAACTAAATTTTAACATTTAGTATTAAATAATACCTCAGATTAAAGTTAGGATAATGTAATTGACATTGCTGGATTCCTTGTAAGACCAGGAATATTTTGAATATAAATGTCATATATTTTGCACAAAAGATAACATATCTATGATGTTTATATTCAAAATGATCATCAAATTATAAGAATTCCAGCAATGTAAATTATATTCTGACCGGGTAATTTGTATGAATTTTATGAGCTAAAACAAATATCTTCAGTTAATAAAAAAAAAAAAATATTCTTCACACTGTAACAGATGGTCGGTTGGTCCCTCCCTCACTCCCACCCCCCACCAACCATCCCACCAGAACCAGATGTGTGGGAAAACCAGAATATTTACCTTTTTAGTAATAAATAATACCTCAAACTAAAGTTAGGATAATATAATTGACATTGCTGGATTCCTTGTAAAACCAGGAATATTTTGAATATAAATGTCATATATTTTGCACAAAAGATAACATATTTACTCAGAGTAAACATTAGATCTAAAATTTGTATGTCTAATGCAAAATCTATGATGTTTATATTCAAAATGATCATCATATTGTAAGAATTCCAGCAATGTAAATTATATTCTGGCTGGGTAATTTGTATGAATTTTATGAGCTAAAACAGGCAGTCAGGCAGGGTGGCGGGTGGGGCGAATCTAAAAATAGCTCTAGCCGGACACTCACCGCATATACATGGAAAAAACCGCTTTAAGTGAAAGTTCAGCTGTGGCGCTCTGGTGAGGCACCGCGTATACGGTAAAATGCGCTAAGCGAAACCGCGTTAAGCGGGGTAATACTGTATACGGTATCGCAGTTCTCATTGATCTACAAAAAATACCTGTAATAAAAACCTTTTCGATATTTCACACTTAATATAATACCCAGTAATCTACTTCAACCTCCTATTGTTTACAACGACGCATGACGCACCACCATTTAAAAAGGTTACAAATTATTTTTTGAAAAGTTGATTTTTCTCAATTTATCCCTGTAGGCGTGGGTTACTGCCTGGCAGCACTCTAACCCAGGGCTTAAGGGTTAATTTTAAGGTAATAAAATGGCAGTGAAGGTGTGGCTATTGTGGGAGGCTGGAGGCCATGTTTAGAAAAAAAGTAGTACCTGTAGTAGAAGTAGTGGTGGTGAATGGGTGATCACATTGTGGGGAGGGAGTGTGGCTGTCAGGAGAGTTGGCGATCCAGTTACAGCCTTCTGCCTCCACACGTACATTGACTCCGCACATACAGTGGTCCCTCGGTTAACGAACACACTTCGTTCCACAGAGTCGTTCGTCAACCAAAAATTTCGTTAACCGAATCCATTGTTTCAATGGGTTATTGGGTAATTGGTTTCAGCTCACAGAAAAGTACATACAAAGTAAAAAAAATGCAGTAAAGTACACTTACTTTGAGGTGTGTATGTAGAAGGCTCCTGGTTGATGATGGTGATGGGAATTAGAAGTGGGGTTGGAGGAGAAGGGAGAAGAGAAGAAAGTGGGGATGGAGGAGAAATCACCTTTCAGGGGACCCATGCTTGATGCCGTCATTTCACCAATAAAATTTTAAGTTCACTAGGTGTAATTCAAGATTATTTTATTTAAATCAACACAGCACTGCGCTATATATTATCAATATGTGAACTAAATATCAGAATGACCAATAATTTCAATGTAAAAATGCAAAAACATTCAAGATGCCAACAAAATAGATGTTCACTCCACTGTAAACAGAGCCAAACTGACGCCTGGTGGCCGAGTCAAGCAGCTGATGGGCGCACAAAAAACTAGTTCCCTGTACTGTACTGTATATATTATCAATGTGTTAACTAAATTTTAAAATGACTAATAATTTTAATATAAAAAATGCAAAAATATTAAAGAGCACAACTTTCTTGATATTTACTCCACTGGAAACAAATGTATACATAGAACAGATTACTGAATTGGCAGACTAGCCCATCAGCTTATCATCTGATGCTCACAACAAAACGTGTTGTTCGTAAGGATTTCGTTAATCGAAGTTTTGTTCGTTAACCGAATTGAAGATCCTTATGGAAGGTAATTCATTAACCGAAATTTCGTTAATCGAACTGTTCGTTAACGAGGGGCCACTGTATTCACACCCATGCTCTGCATATTGTATTTTCTTTATTTTTAAGCAACATTAAAGTGTACTATTGTAAGCATCTTCCCCCAGTCTCTTATAGTTTCATTACAAGTAACTAAGGCAGCATGCTATCTCACAGGCCTCCTCATCTCCATTTTTCCCTTTCCCAGTGAGTCAACCTATTGCTAATCCAGATTTTGACCAAATGTTAAGTGAGAAAGGGCGACAGATTTTTTCTCGTTAAACCAAATTAACTTTAACCACTGAAAGGGTTAAACAATTAGTATCGTCCAGTAAGAAGTATCCTGTGTGGACTGAGATGAGTATGATGGTCCCTCCTTAAGTCACCCTAAATTTGTTCTGAAATGTTCGAGAACCATCTAGCTATTAATATTAAAGTATTTGGCATCTCTCTCGGCGGCACTGTTACAAAAAAGGCAACCATTAGATTTGTGGAAAAATTATTTCAATGTTCTTTATACATATAGAAAAAAAAATTGAAAACTATAAAATGATAAATAAGAAGTGTGGAGATGTACAGTACTGTATGTATTCTGATTGGGGTGAGCTTCCAGAAGGCAGTGAGAGACATGGTAGCAGTTGTAGTGGGCTGGAAGGAAATGCCGCTCTATTATGATGTCACGGAACTTTTTGTTATTCTGCAAGACCTTTAAATGACAGGAGTATGCAATTTATATATGATTTCCTTATTTTTAAGGGGTTAGGAGCCTTCTTGGTTATGGCCGACCAGGGGGTGGACTGTTCCTAAGGGAAAGACTGGCAACCGTCTACTGGTTAAGTAGATTCACTCTAAGCAAGGAATGCCTGTGTACATTGCAATATTTTATGGCATATACTGTAAGATGCACTTTTTTTTTTTAAAAACTGCTTGAAAAAATCAGCCTGCATCTTTTATGTGAAGTTATGGTATCCCATAAGCTAATGAATCCCCCAGTTGCTGTCGCCAATAGGCTAAATTCTACCTCACCCGACTCCAGAATTAAAAATATGTTATTGCTTACTTAAACACATTATTACACTTCAGTAACCATTTTGAACTTTTACAAGAATTACAGTACTATCTATTCTATACCTGCAAAATTTATTTTTAAATCTACAAATACCTGATACAAATGGAGATTTACATATAACTTTCTTTTTACATTTGTGTCTGTTAACATCACTGGGGGCATTGTAGCCAGGTTAGACTTATCACTGTAACCACCAGGCTACTGGGCCAAGCTTTGAGGTCTTATGGTTTTTCATCTCATATTTTTGGGTAGATATTTGTAACTTTCTTCACTTATTTTTCTCAGTTACATGCACACGCCATCCTACATATATTCTGTGAAAAAGTAAACGAAAAAATTGTCCTAAACTTAAACACTTAGGGGGAATATACATTTTTTTGCACTCGTGTTGCTGGCTGTCTCACTGAATGAGTTGGAGGAGGTGCAACGTGTTTTGGGGGGTGCAAGGGAATTGGCGGAGGTGGCATCTCTTGCTATGGTGATTCAGGGAGTATGCGCATATGACGACTGTGTTAAACTTTCATTTGGCTTTTATTTACTGGTTTGGCAATGCAATATTTTTGGGATAACCTATTTATTGGATTATTTTTATTTATTCCTCACATTTACTGGTGCTGTATATATTATTTTAAGAAAACTATGGTTACAGGAGGAAAATTCACTCAAGTTTTTTCCTAAACACTCCCTGCTAAAATAGGGGGTGCCATAAAATACGGTAGTTATACCCCTAGAAAATATTACATTAATTTCTATTTCATTCCTCTTTATATTGAGAAACTAGACTACTCTTGTTATTCATTGTATCACCTTTTCACCTCCAATCCTCATCATTCCAGTTGTGATTCATTCACTCTTTAACAGCTTCCCTTTCTTAAGCTTGCTGACAGCTTGTCTCACCTACTCCTCATGTGTCATTTTTTCCCTACCTTAGCTTTAACCTTACCCTTCTACTATTTCTTACTAAGGATAAGTCCACCAATTACTCATCTGTCACATTTAGCTTTTTTTTTTCCAGATGGCTGCACTTGATGGAAGTGATAGAAGAGTGGTTCTGAGTGAACATCTATCACATGTGTTTGGCTTTTCACTTTTGGGTGACTATTTGTACTGGACAGACTGGCAGAGGCGAAGTATCGAGAGAGTCAACAAGCTTACTGGTTAGTTGGTTGTGGTTTGTGAAGAGGTTGGATCTGTCACATGCACAAAATAAATACCTTTATGCTTGACCTGATAACAGTGGAAAAGTGCCAGTTGGTGGACATAATCAAGAATCTTATGAACATCACAGATTATCTATGGCTGAACAAATTACTTGAATATGGTCTTTACTGAAATACCCTATTGTCCAGATTATCAACACAGAATCTTGTCATTTGTGGTAGAATTGTGCAGAAACATTCTGACATACCAGTACTGAATGAAACTTTTTCTTTCCACCTGAATTTTCTTCACTTCTGACTTTATATACAGAAATTCAACTCCAAAGATGCTTTTTTTTCTTTTCTTTTTTGAAGGTTTCAGTGATTTGTGTAAATATTTTCTTGCAAGTTTTGGCAATTTGTTAATTTTTATTTATTTATTTATTTTTTATTTTATTTTTTATTTTTTTAAGACTGCTAGCTTATTTGCAATCAAAGATTTGCACTGTTTTTAATCTTGCCCATATGTAATGCAGTACAATTCTTTTTCTCCAACTCTTCCAGGTATCTGAAGTTTTGACCCCTTTGTCCCGTTCAGTTAAAATTCTAGTTTAGTCCAACAATCTGAATGCAACCAAAGTCATTCAATTGCGTGTCTGTCACCAATGGCACACTAACTGCTTTGTTTACATGTGTGCCAGGCTTTTTGGTTGGTGGAAGGTGTTGGTCTGTTAATTTCATGCTATGATAAACAATAAAATTAATACATAGCATATCATGAATACAATAGCACATATTTTATGTACAAAAAATAGCTCCTTCCACACTCAAGCCGTCCTCTGGGAGTTGCGACACAGTTCAGCCAGGCAGTCACCCAACTGACTCCAAGATACTCGTGTGTGCGTGCGTACATCGAGGGAGGGAGCACGGGTGAGACGGTGACGCAGTCCACTGCCTCCACACACATGTTCACTTACCATACTTACACACCCATGCTCTTCATTTTTCTTTTCTTATAGTTTTATATTTTATTTATTTCTACACCACATTTGAGTATTGTAATGATTATTTCACAACATTTATCGTTTCATTACTTGTAACTATGGCATCATACCATCTCACAGACCTCCTCATCCCCAGTTTTTCCCCTTCCCAGTGAGTCGTTATTGCTGAACCAATTTTTGACCTAACATTAACTATTGGATGTCCTTGTACAGTAGGCACATTCAGGTATCTGAATCATCATTGGTCCCAATGAGTTTGGATAAAAGGAATTGTACTGTAGAAATTTTGGGGGGCAAACTATTTTTCATAGTAGTGGTTGTTTACACTGGTATTTGTCTATCCAGTTTTTAATAACTTTTTTTTACTTATCCTCAGAGAGGCTCACAGAGGATTTTGGAAGAAGTTGGATTCTAAATTTGTATTTGAGTAAACTTTTCTTGTAATGCCTCACTTCTTAAGGGAGCTCCTCTCAAAATGGATGGCCCTTATTAAATAACTTCTAGGATACCCTGTCATTTTGTTTTCCACTGTTCCTTCTATTTGCCTTACCCATTCCTCTGTGTTCTCCTTAATATATTACTCCACTTTACTCCCACATTGTAGGCTGTTACCCTTTACCCCACATTACCTCTGTATACCTTCTTTCATCCTATTCTTTAGGGGGATCACCTCAGTGCACCCTTCACCCTCTTCATCACAGCATTTTACACTATCATCTCTCAGCCAATCAAAACCCTCAGTACACTTTCCTATTACTTGTCTCTTCCATTCTGATGATCCCAGATACAGGCTTCATGCAATCCATTTCTTTAGTTTGAATTTTAGAGCACTACTTTATGCCATGTTTATGTCCCTGTCAAGTTGGAAAAGATTATAGAGTATATACAGTATAATACTATCCCTGAGTTCCTTCTTTGCTTACATCCATCATTTCTCTTCATGATAATCTCCACTTGTTCATGTATTATTCCTTTCCTGATTTTACTTCACTACTGATGAAGTCGACACAATTTATTAGCTGTTTTTGCATACTAAACAATGTTATTATTTATCCCTTTCACTGGGCACTGCAATATGATGAGTATTCCACAAACTGTGGCAAATTTCCAAAAACAAAAAATACCCAGATTCCCATTTCAAGTGCCTTATTTACATGAAATAAAAAGTAAAAAAATTTTAAGTGACAATAATTTTTCTTGAAAACCAGTACAGTAGAAAATGCTGATTTTTTGTGATATGGCCTGCAGTGCAAATGTTGTTTTTGCTAATGCAATGATTCTTCAGGAACATATCTGTTGGCATTTGTAATTCATGGTTGTAGTTCTTAAACTGTTTTTACCACCAGTACAGTCAGCCAAAGGTAAAAGGTAG